TATCACTTTATTCCGATTTTCTGCGATTGCTACCCATGATTTACTGAAAGATCTACAAATAAGTAGTTAACTGGACTGCAGGATAGAACATTTTAGCTGTGACATCGTTATTAACCTATGTAAACATTTCAAACACTCGCCAAATCCTCACCATTAGTTAGCATGAATTTTCCCGCGAAAATTATATTTTTAACGTCACACTACGAGCTACAAGGAAAAAGCAAGTGATTCCTCAGCTCGCTGGTCTCTCTCTTTTTTTTTTTCGCTGATGTGTAGAACGACATGCAAGTTACAGGCGATCGAAGCTTTAACCTAAATTTAATTTTAGCACTTGTGCAAACCCCTTGTTTACATCGATTTCTCGTTTTTGGCAGGTGCGACGCGTTACAGATTTTTTTTCCTTGATTTTGGAAACATTTAAAAACCCCGTCAACAAGTATCCGGATATTTTTGAATCCGCAAATTTTTCTGTCCGGATACGGCTTCCGTTCACACGCACCCGGCGAATTCGGCAGCGAATCCGGATTTTTTTTAATCCGCTCTCCAGAGTGGAAAAATACAAATCCGCAACGAATCTGATAACGTGTGGATGGCGAATCCGGATAGTTCCGAATCCGATGACGTAGCAATCTTACCGAACAATCAACCAATATGGCGACACAACGTGTAGATCTAGTTTCTCTAGAGTGAATCCGGATACCATCGGATGCGCGTGGGCAGGCGAATTCGATTTGAGTACGCTGCGTGTGGACGGGGAAATTTTTGAATCCGAAAAGAAAATGTTGCGGATTCAAAAATGTCCGGTTACGTGTGGACGGGGCATTAATGTTCTTTCGGATCAGAAAAATCGCCTAGCAGTGCGGGTGCCGGGTCAATTTGTCTTCAATAATTAGCGTGCAAACGAGATGGTCCAGGAAAGACGTCTGACGTGGTGTCCGTATTTGGCACAGTCGAATGTAAGCAATGAGGAAATACAGGCTGCGATAAAACGTCCCTGCTATGATCATAAAGGACAGACAGACGGCTGGAATAAACATTTCAATAAGTGTAATAGCTGCTAGGTCATGATCGCCAGCGGAAGTCCTTCTTGCGTTTAATGTTGCCGTTTGTATCGTCGCAGGTTTGTACATCGTGTTGTTTTCCGCTCTGAAACATTTACTTTCAACAAAACTAATTTGATGTTGCTCCTGTCAATATTTACCACAAAATCCCTTGTTAAATGACCAATTTCGATATATTAAAATTCAGCCTAAAACAATAGCCCTCAGTACGAGGCCGTCCTCGTCTCATCGAGGACGCCTTTGCCCGACTTGCCATCTTATCGAAAACGTGAGTATTTTGCTCTTGTTTTGCCCTGACAAATGTACCAATCGACCTTATTTTCAGGTATATTGATGAGAATGTTTACTAGGCTCACATTTTTCGTGATTG